ACCCTATATGCATAAAAAGTCATAAACATAGCTCTCCTTTTTTTTGATGTTATGTTCATGTAACTATTAGGCCGAAGTATCTCTCTTTCTCTCTCTTCTCTCTCTCTCGATTGACATTAATCTCTCATTTTAACTCCTAGCCAAAAAAAGATAATTTTTTGGTGTTATATTCATGTAACTTCTAGACCCCTACCTATATCTCTCTCTTTTTATCACTTTAACTCCAAACCCACAAAAGTAGTTATAAAAGATAACTCGTATCATTCTCTCTATCAATTTTTTTTAAGCAACTCTATGTCTAATTATTTTATTTTTCTTCATGGCAAGTCTCTCTCCATATTTTAAGAATGTGAAGGGTCTCTATAATGGGCAAGCTTTCTACGCTTCCCCTACAACATAAAACTTATATACTTCATCTTATCCAACCGTCCATCTTGAATGGAGGGCTAGGATTGCCTTACACTATTTTATTTTAATTTTTCTTCTATAAACTATTTTGACACGAAATTTTGTACGTCCAATCCTCTATTAAATTCACACTATCGAAAAATATAAAAAAATATTTCCAATAAATAAAATAACCAAAATACCCTTGAAAGTTTCAAGGGTTATTTTGGTCATTATATTTTATCGAAAAATTATTTTTAATATTTTTCATAGGTGCGCCCCAATGAGAAGATAGCACGTACGAAATTTTATATTCATACAATTTGTATAGAAAAAACTAAAAATAAAATGTTGAGACATCAGGTCTAAAATCAAACGGTGAGTGACTCTCTTGATCAAAATTGGACGGCTGGATGATAGGAGAAGCATAGCTTTTCTACACTGTAGGGGAAGTATAGAAACCTTTCCCCTCTATAATTGGGGTTTCTCTCACATTAACTATAGAGATGGATATGCGTCATATACCAAAGAATAGGAAGGTTCATTTCAACCCATATTTCTTTGTCATCCTATGTGCATTTTGGTAGTTTGTTATGGAAGCAAAAACAAATAGATTCACTTCCAAAGATGATAAGAAAATGAGTTTGATGACTTAAGGAAGAGGACTTGCAAGCTATTATAAAATGTACATTCAAGAAATCTTATAAGAGGCCCTCATGGAAATAATTAGGTTTGTTTGTTGCAGGCTTGGAGTTTGATGAACATGTTCTAAAAATTGGAAAGTACAAAACAATGAGAGTGGCGGCCTCTTTTAATTTTCTAAATAGAATCAAATATGAGAGGAAGAGCCACCCTTCAATATTGACATTCGCCATGTATAACTCAAAACAATAAGGGAAATTATCTCTAATATATCTCTATTTTAAGAAAATTGGAAAAAAACACCCTACTTCCCAAAACCTCACCTATATCCTTTTTTACAAATTTTGACATTTTTTGGACGAAAATAACCTTCACGGTAAAAAGACTACCGTAATTTTTTTTTATATTTACGGTAATTTAAGTACTGCTATCATTTCACATAATGTTATCGTATTTTAAATACCGTAATGAGATGAATTTATATTACGGTACTTAGAGTACCATAATATCAAAACTTTACATTACGGTGCTCTTAATACCATAATTACTGCAAGGTTGCTTGAAGAACACTTATGAGACATTTGCTTGAAGAAGCCATGAACAATATACCACAGCCAGGGTCCGGAAGAGAGAGGAATAGAGAAAAACGATGGATGGGAAGAGGGTTCGAAAATAAAAAACTGGGCATACCAGGCTTGCAACCACAAGTTGTTGAGCGCATAGTTAATTCTCACTCTTCATTTTCTCCCCATGTTCATGTTCTTCTTCTGGGGTTTTCAGTTCAAAAGTCTCAGATGGGGAGCTTCGTTCTTCGATTGCAAGCAGTGATTGCAGGTTAGTCTCAATGCGTGGATCTCTTTTTTATCATTTACAATTTACATTTTTTTTGAAATTTGAATTCCATTTTATATGCATTTTTTCTTTTTTAAAGGTTCCGATGGTCGTGGGGCCATTAGAATAAAAAATAGCACTAATGGATGTAAAATTATCAATGTGGCTATTTGTTTCTATGGATATTATATGACCAAATTTAATCTCCTTTTCCTATGTATTTTTTGTTTTTTTCCGCAATTTTTGAGATGCTTGTCTGATTGGTGTTTTCATCCTTAGTGGTAATTGCTATCATATTTGGTTTCAAATAATATTTAGCTTGACTCTGATTCTGCTTTTGATCTATGGAAATAATCATCTCCATTTAATTCATTGAATTTTTTGTGTTGGGCTGAAGTTGGGGGAGCAGGACTTCAGGAGGAGGGCGAAGGAATCGCAAAAATGTAAATCTCTCTTTCTCTCGCAAAAATGTAAATCTCTCTCTCTCTCACACACAATTGTAAATCTTTATATTACGGTACTACGAGTACCGTAATTCATTGCAAAACCAAAACAACAATTAAATTACCGTACAATTTTTCCTTATTAATATGGTATATATATTATCGTATAGACGAGACTAAGCATTACGGTATTTAAATTACCGTAATGCTTTTTATGGTAAAAAGACTACCATAGTTTCGTCAAATAATTGTCAAAATTTGTAAAAAAGGATGTGGGCGAGGTGTAAGGAGGTGTAGGGAAGTTGGGTTTTTTTTTTCAATTTCCTTAAAGTATATTAGGGATAATTTCCCAAACAAGAATAATGTAGTCTTTATTCCTTCCTTTCTCTTTAACATCTTTATAATGTTATCATTTTTCATCATTCATATCAAATAAATGCTGAAATATTCCTACGCAAATCATGATCTGATAAAAAAGAAAATTATTTTGATCCCACGCTTTTTATCAGCCTTTGCGTTGTAATTTTTATCCATGGACGATGGAGTCAACCATTTCAGTGTATTGTGACAAATGAAATATTTTTCTACATATTCTCTCTTAGTTTGCTGGCTCCTAACTCTGATACCAAAAAAATTTGTACCTTGTAATGTTAGATATTAGGTTAGGGGTATGGTTTTTGTAAGGTTGAATCTATTTGAAAAAATTTAAGTATGCCACTAATAGGCGATAAGATGAGAGAGAGTATACTAAGGTGGGTTGGACATACATAATGCCAATCAAGTAGATGTGCGAGTTAGTTTAAGTGGAATGACAAAAAAAAACAAGAGGAGTAAAGGTACGAGTTAGTTTAAGTGGAATGACAAAAAAAGACAAGCGGTAAGTTCAAAAGGACGTGGTAAGAAGTAGTTCAAAAATATATAAAGACCGGGCCTTATTGAGGTACGACCTTTAATAGAGCAGAATGATGGACTAGGATTCGTGTAGCTAACCTCAATTAATTGAAAAAAAGCTATGATGATGATGATAATATTTTCATAAGGTTGCAACCTTAAACAATCAAATTAAGCCGCACCTCCAAACTTTGCGATGAGATGTAATTTGGTGTTGAAATTCTTAAAGATATTGTGAAAACCTATTTTATCTCTAATATAAATTTCTAGACTCAAAAGATGGTTCAAATTAAGCAGATTCATAAATGCATAAATTTTTTAAAAATGGACAGTCCAAATAATGTATTGCGAGATGTGTTATTTTAAGTAGAGGTGGTAGTGGGTTGGGTCTGGCTGGACCGAGACCCAAACCCAAATAGTATCCGGGTTCAGGTTTAGACCCAGACCCAACCCGTTGTGTCCTGGACCCATATTGTGTGACAATCCAAAATTTTTTGAAACTGAATAATAATAATAATAATAATAATAATAATAATAATAATAATAATAAATATAATAA